AGATTTGATCGATGCATCCACGGCCGGCGCGAAACCCAGCCTGCTCCTCGCGGTGCAAGCGAAGTAATAAAGGAATCCGATGACTCAGTGATTCACCATCAGCAATGCCGTCTTCAGCGATGGGTTGAACATTTTGTGGCTCAATTCAACTAGTCCTCATCGACATCAGATATATCAACCACCATTCGCGACTGAGTAAATACTTCCAGTTGTTGCCAGTCTTCTATCTTACGTGAAGGTTTCCCGGGAAATCGGTCATCTCAAGTTGCACAAGGCTTCCGACTCAGATGGATTATTCCCATCGACGTTTAAGTATGAACGCTCAGCGTTAGTCTTGCAGCTGATCAAACTGCTCGGCTCTCTATGACAGAGGGAACTGGCTCCAACTGTGCGGCAAGATCCGGTCATCTTTCCGATTTACAAAAAGGTGACAAATTCACTTGTGAAAACCACAGGGGAATTATTTTAATCAACGTCACCTCTAAACTTCTACCCTAGGTCATACTCCGTCGATTGTCTTCCGCTCGTGAAGAGTGAACGCGTGCGAATCAGGCTGGTTTTAGATCTGGTCGAGGTTGCATCGTCCACATCTTTACTCTTTGCCAAATTCAGGAGCACTAAGACTAGTTTCCCAGACCCACCACCTCTTTCTTCCTCGACCTGAAAGCGTCTTTCAACGTAGTCGACCGCTCTTTACTTGGATGCTTCCTTTCGCTGAAGGGTGTGTCCGAGAAGTTCATTTCAATTTTGCGACCTCTTTAAACCAACAGTTGAAGCCGAGTCCGAGCTTACGCCAATTATTCACCCGAGTTCACTACAGAAAGCGGTGTTCCTCAAGTTGCTCTCTCTCCTTTTCTATTTAACTTTGATTATGGTAATAGCCCTGTCCTCGTGCGAGGATAGTAGTAGCGATTTGCTCCCAGATGGCAGACTCCCTGATCTGGAGTATACAGACAATATTGCACTGTTAAGTGAAGGTGCAGGTAAGTTGTAAGCGTTTCCGTACAGTCTGAATGCCAGTTTAGCCATGCTCGGTATGCACTTTGTACCTTCAAATTGTTAAATAGTGCTATGAGACTAGGTTGGTCTAGCCCGTCACTTTAACTTGGGAAATAACAGAAAAGGTAGACAAATTTTGCTATTTGAGCAACTAGATGGCACCCAGCGGACGCATCACGGATGAAGTATCGATTGATATTTACTATTATAAGAGACCCGAGGGGCCGTGACTTGGCCCAGTTGTCTGTTAAGGGTCGAGTAGATGCTGGAGCAGTCTGGCCAGTGCTACGTTTTGGTACAGGGACTTGACAGTTACGAGAACAGGATAAAAATCGATTGTCGGTGTTCGAACAGCGCTGTCTACCCCGCACTACATGCTTCTAGTAAGGAAACCGGTCATGCAGTTCTGAGGTTAGACGAAGAATTTTGGGTGATTGCGAAAGTCCGTTGAAGCAAGTGTTGAACGTCCAGAGGCAACGTTGGTTGGGGCATGTATTGCCCATGTACTACTGCGCGCATTATTCGCCAAGACAGGTATTCGAGGCAAAAAAGTCGAGGGGGTCAAACTAAGACTTGACATTAAGAAAACTCTAACTAGGAGACTTGATAATGGAGGTCATATTTGGCTCCTCAGGACCATCTTACTGGGTGTCAGAATCTCTGAGTAATTTGGCTGATTGTCGTGGACACTGATGCTCATTATCCTTGCATCCTACTTTATATGAATTCTTTATCTTCTGTTGGACTCTGCCCTGAACATTCCAATCTTCTTTCTGCTCTTTCATCTAAATGGGCAACAGAGAAAGCAACCAAAACCAGTGCATGTTTAAAGCTCGCAAAAAAACCTACCAATGAAACCAGAGGAATTTCATAGGTTTTCATAAAAAGCACGTTAAACACACCGTAATAGGAAGTAAGTTTTTGTGGAAAAAAGCTCTTCAATTTTCATTTTTTTACAACCAATTACCGTGTCCTTTCGTGCGCCGGTTTTACCCAGTATTCTCAAGAAGCACTTATGCGATTCCAGAATAATGGACCAACAATGTTGATTACGCCATCCATGACTGAAGCAATAATGATCACTACTTTGATAGTTACGGAGAACGAACTTAGCAAGCCCATAGTGCCTCAGCCCGATCAATAAGCTCTCCAAAATACTGCATTCCATGTAAATGGCTTAAAAGCAAGCAAGGTATCAACGTAACAAAAACAAAGCGAGGAATCGGATTGGTTCACTTATGTCCTTTATCTATCACTCACTACACATGCATAAAGTTCAATTTGCAAAGTATATATTTTTTCGTATTTTTAGTCCAGGAAACTTTTAGAATAAAACCCTAGGATAATAATCAATCGCAAACTATTCCCTAACCCCGATGAAACGAATTAAAGTGGTGGATATAATGTTAAATGACTGTAGCCCACGATGCGATTGTTAGTTTTGGAAGGTTGTCCGTTCTGGAACGTTTTCCACTTTAGCCTAGTCTGGCCTAGCCACAAACGGTTTACAAGCGACGCTTCTAGGTTAGTGGACTCTCAAAATTCAGTTACTTTTGAAATATTTCCTTCTTTCATTATCAACTGCCCATATGTTTACTCCTGTCCTTTATTTGGAAGCTCTTCGATGTTTGCAAATATCTGTAATATTTACGTCTCTTCATCAACGCCAAAAGGTGGTTATTGATGGGAAACGGTTTTAATGAGATACAATTATTTTTCGGGAACTATATCGGGTTCACCCGGTTTAACACAAATGCATTCAATTTATGAGCAAGTTTTCTACTCGCTGGGTCACCCCGCAAAAAAGAGGAACAGGAATTTGTCACGGTTGTACATTTATTTAATATCAAATTCATCCCTATTCTTCAATTTGTAGTTGCAAATTGCTTCAACTTATGATTGTTGTCAAAAAGCTGCAATCTGAAACATTTTTCATGACTCATTTTATTGTGTAGAGTATCAAGCTTGGATTAGCCCGTTCGATTGTTCATAGGCACCAGGCACTCTTGATGGTCTTTGGTGTGGGTTTCACTTCTTGGGAGATCGTTAATTCCCTAAGAGACAAATACATTCAAATGCGGTGGAAATGTTTGTGATAACCGAAAAAGAGCACCGGACAGCTGTTTCGTCCTGTCTGGGACTCGTCAGCAGTGTGCGTACTTTTTTTATTCGACGTTCTCTTTGCATTTATTTTCACACAAGGAAAAATGAATTGGTACTGTTTACATGGAAAATCTCTCAGATAATGTCTCTCCAGTCGATTAGTGTTTATGCGCTAGAGTGTCGGGGTTACAAATANTACAAATAATAGAAGTACAATTAATTAATTCTGGTTTTTAGCTCATGAACAGAGGTGCCTAGGGAACCTCTTTAAATTCCTCCAGACCATTTAAAACTACATTTAAAAAAATGCTTATGTTCCTGCTTCTTCGTTTGTTACTTTCTTGGCTGTTCCACATTTTTCATCTGAACTTCACCTTTTAAATCGTGAATGTCTGTTCCATACAATTAGTTGCTTTGTAAACGTTTAGCAAAATAATGCTCACCAGCTTTGGTTCTGATGCGTACATTTTCCGATCAATTTCATCCATTAGTACATTATACGTTAGCCCACGAATGTTGCTTTTCCACGCCTTCATCTTGGGCTAAGTAATAAGGTAAAATATAAAATTAAAATGAAAGGGAACTTTTATTAGACATAAAACAAAGGAATAACCTTGACTTTGTTCCCATAGCTTGTGTCCAAAATGATACTTAAGGAACATACTGCACCTCTGTACCGATGACATTTTTCAAGTGTAATTTATGGACGCAGCTTATTGGTTAAAACCAATCACTAAACTCACTGATCATTTTTAAAATATTCTTTTTAAAACTTTCATTGGTGGCTCAACTTTTTATACATAACTGCTAATGAATGGAAAAATAGAGCTCACCTTTACAACGTTGAAAGCTTCGAGTTGAGCTTCAATCGGCTTAGAAAGTGTGTGAGTAAATTTGTCTGTCAGGTTCTCCAGTGAAGTATTTAATTCCTGAAATATTTATATATGAATTCAAGGCCGGCAGATTGTCGATTACCTGCAACTCTCCCTTTATATGAGCGTACTGCTCCCATTTTGGATCGAAACATCCTCCCAAAGCATCTGTTAACGCTTTGAATGCGGAAGAAGTCTCTGAGAAAATCAAACAAATGAAAATTAGCTTTAGGGTTGCTTTCTCAAGCACTCTAGAGAGATAGCAATTTAATATAAGGCAAAAATCTTACCGGAGTCCACCATACTCAAACGTTATACGAGAAGCCGAACGGGAACAATAAAAACGAGAATCCTTGATCTGGAGCGATGAAACGCACAAAGGAGACACGTTCTTGATCTGCTTGTGGAAAACTAACTGTTGTATCCCGAAAAAAACTATCATCAAACCTCATCCCATGATGCGTGTTCCAACGACCCCAGTGAAAAAACAGTTTCAAGCAATGCAAGCTTTGATTGGTAGTGGCAGCCAAAAGTGGATTGAAAAAGGGGAAAACTTGTGGTATATATGGGGTTGATCACAGTCTAGTCATTTGTCCGAGATACCATGAGCGAGATAAAACCACAGGGTCACTAAACCAAAACGCGCAGAGCGGTTTCCGCAATTTTTCTTGTGTCAGTAGACACAGGTCTTGTCAAAGCATTATCGTTGGAATTAAATTTCTGCAGATCGATGAGTAAGGAGGAACAGTCAGAAATTGAGGTTCCAGACAAGTACTTTATCGGTTACAACTAGGAAGGCAGTAGAAGTTCGCAAGACCACCTTAGTGGATTGTTTCCTCCAATACCGCCTTATTGGGAAACCACAGAGAAGTCTGCTGAATCGGAAACAGTGAGAGGTGTTGAAGAATCTGAGAAAGGACAAAGATTATTATCGCTAAGCCAGACAAAGTTGCCGGAATCGTACTGTTGGATCGCGCTGATTACTTTGGTAAGATGACCGGGATCTTATGCGGTTTCAAAAAATTCGTTAACTCATGAAAGGAGAAGGATAAGATTAAAACTGTGGAGGAAGATCTAACCGGCTGTTTGGAAACAATGAGAGCTAATCATATCTCCAAAACTGCTTAAGCACAAGTAACACATAATTAAACCTCTATTCTGCATTTATACGGTTTACCAAAAGTACATAAATTAGGTCTACCCTTAAGATCAACACTTGATTTGAGTGCTTCGCCTTATCACCCAGTTGCTGGATGGCTTGAAAAGATACCGGAGCCGGTCCGTCGATTGTTTGTTTAATTCTGGAAGACACAGTTCAATTCGCAGAGTTAATGACTTTGTTTAAAAAGGATTATGCATGTTTCTACCTCCGTTTTTTGTTTATTCATTATTCAAGTGTACAACCAATTTTCAGGAGGAGATCACGACCATACAAAGACTGTTTGAGAAACAAATAAATGGGGAAGATGGGTAGTGGTAGAGCAATTCGAAATCAGGACAATCGAATCACTGTTTTGATGACCTTAACCGCCCAACCACAGTCTCCCATTATAGATGAGATTAGCTTTTTGAAAATATTCCATTGACCCCATTTCGAAGGACGCCTAATTGAGACCCCGTAGATAGGGATAATTGTGAAAAGGATAATCACCCTACTCCCTTGTTTGATTAGGCATTGTTGCTCCAAGTTAAAGGCTATCAACTGTTGGAATTCATTCAAATAAGGAAGGTTTTGTAAAATGCTAGATAAAAATATTCCATTCAAGTGATACATGCCAAAGTGTATTGCGAATAAAGTACTAAGAAGAGATGGGAGTAAACTGAAATGCCTCAAAGAGAAGATAAGCGTTTTTGTCATTCCCGAATCAGAAGTAATTCCAAAGCGAAAAATACAGTGCCCAAGCTGTTTTTATCACACCCGTATTGTTCTATAAATCCTCTTGCGCGCGTACACATAGTAATATGTGATGGGTTTTATTATTACATAATATTGTAACATTCTACTGGGTTCACATACCAATTTATTCTCCGAATTATTTCAGCAAGCCCAAGGTGACAACTATAGATACAGCTGAGTTTGTATGATGCTCGAATTACTGTTAACGCACTCGTTTTTCCGCAATCTTTCATTAACGCGTAAAGGTTTAATCATCCAATTTGATGGGCTTATCTTTCCCCACCACTATATTGTGCTCGTCTACAGTTTCGAATATTGATCTAAAATAATTTATTTTATCTCTGATATTGTGGCTGAAAGATGCAAACGCTTTGGAGGCAANNNCGCCGTAGCTCTATAGTTCGACGGAAAGAGTCACAGATATAGCCAGTGTATGAGACGACGCTTCGTAACATTTAACTGCATAAATTTCACATAACGAACGGTTTGTGAACAAAACTCAGGCTATCCATATAATAAAGCTGCGAATTCGGATCTTTCATTCACGAAAACATAAGAATTTGGCGCCGTCTGCCACAACCTGTGTTAAAACAGCACTAAAATACTTACCAATGAGAAAAGACTCAGGAATGAGTATAAGTAAAATCGCCTAAAAATTTAGATATCAAGGAAGGTTATCCGACACGATTTGAAGGTTGAAGGTAGGAAATGTGGAATACTAAATAAAATATCTAATAAGGCAAGCATATGACTTATGTGGTACATCTAACCAAAATCCATCGCATCAAAATTGCAGAGGTTAATTCAGTTAAGTATTAGCGTTCGTCGTGTTCATTAAATATTGCATACACCAATAGCTGTGGGATACAAAATGCTGGAGTAATTCTGTGGATAAAACTGGAAGTCATATTGCAGATAAAGTAAACTCTATCTGCTCTATCTGTACTCTATCCGTTCAGTTAAAATTCACATAAAAGTAAATTTAAGTGAAATAACTTAATACTTCGTGATGATGGACCAATATAAATCTGGTTTGACGTTCAGAGAAACAACACTGGCTTCATGGATTTATTGTGGTTTCTGGTGCTACCTTAGTAGACTGTAAGACAAGACTGGCAGTTTACAAAAAAAAATCAATCAGCTGACTGGTTCATCAAAACTCCAAATGATTTCCGTTTCCCTGTAATTCCGAAAAGTCGGGGGTGCATACTTTTCAGAAAGAATCCCTCAATTATATATAGCTCAATTCAATAGAATGTATTCATATACCATCGAAACACCAATAACATGGACTGACTTGCTCACATCACTGATTTGGAAATTCATAAAGTTTGATTGGGCGGGTCTGCGCGGATGGAAGGGTTTTAGATATGATCTACGCATTGAGGGTTAGCGTCGTCAGCAAATGAAGCCTAAACGAACCAGAATCTTTTTATAAATACGCCTAAGCGATTTGTATCAGTGTTCTATGAAAAAAGTCGTTGTGCCATATCATTTGTTCATTCAGCCAGGAGGCGATGGACGGGGGTTCAAAGCATTTTACATCAGTGAGACAACAGATAATCGTTGAAAAATTCATGATACCACATTTACGCGCCTGTGGGGCACTTTTAGTTTATGAGCTGTTGGATATGATGTTCATTCTAAAACTGTTGCTGTATCAGTTGTTGTAAAACATGACTGTCCTCTCGATTATCTCAACAACTAGAATAAATATACGAAAACCTATCCTCAGATTTCACCAAGATGGTGAACGAGTCTGGTGAGACAAAAGTAGAAGTCAAATTCATCGCGTCATAATTTTCAATTTGGAGTTCGCGTTAGTTGCAAAACCTTTGTGCTTAACGAAAAAGAAATTAGTAAAAAATGAAGGTGACAGCAGCAATGGGAAATATTATTAATCTCCCACTACTTAGTGGGCACACCACTCAATCGGTTACAATAACTTAACTAGTTTTACTCGCACGATGATGAAAACTGGACTACTGAGAAACCACGTGTTCCTTTTTAGAGAATCTCACTTATTAAGCTGTAGGAAGAAGATAGATGTATGTTATATATGTTGTTAATTAGAGTCTCCTGACTGCGATTTTACGTAATTCAAATCACGTTGGGCTTTATGCACCCGATATGGTGATTTTTCAGCCCTTTGGACAAGTTACAATCAAGAAAGCGTTAGGCATTAAAAGAGAAACAACGTAAACACAAGAATAATTGAGGCGTAGCTGTTATGATCCTGTTGTTCATTGCGAGGAAAAGCTGAAATGAGGTCAATCCTATATATCCCTCCAGTTGCATTCCTCGTTTAGATTGGGTTTCTCTTAAGATTTTTCTTTGGGACGACAAGGTCCACAAAGTTAAAAAAACTTTTGCATTCCGTTTTGTCACTTTCACATAATATAAGCATTAAATTAATCCCCTAATCACCATTAAAAAATCAAAAGTAATCCTACATATTGAAAGCGTGATGAATTCCTTGTATACCTTTTACTTAATTAAACATTAATTGAAATGGGACTGACGAAAGTTAGAAATTTGAAACAACCTACGTAGTTTATCTTCATAAGAATGTGACAATACCTCGCCGCGTGGATAATCTACATACAGAGAATATTTTGGATAATGCAATTCTTTTTACGTTTGATAGCTTTTTTTAATTCGATCACAACTCCCATTGGAAACTCGCATTTTTCGTTTTCATTCATTCCCAAGGGTCACCAGTGTTCTTAATTTTTACAAACGCGTTGCTTAACTGTCTGGCGTTGTTGAACGGTTGTAGTCCTATCGGTCATTTGGACCACGTCCGGAACAGGACGAGACGTTTTGCTCGCTGCAGCTATGACATTTTGCGTACTATTTAAATACTGGGGCACCCAACACAAGAATATCACATTTTAAGTTAGTGTATATTCACCGTCTAAACAACGTCAGGCCAAGCGGTTGCTCTTCCTTTCTAAATCTGTAGCAACCAGTATTGGTTTCTTCGTAGAGTAGTCTGTCTTACTTAATTAACTTCAATGATATCCTGAAGAATGACTGTAGATTGCTACATCTCGTCTGAGCCGTCAAAAGACACGCTTCGTTTGATCCAATTAAGATAACCAACAAAGGTTTATTTGATCATCACATTGAAGCCAACAAACATTTAAAGATAATGTTCTCACCTGCACACATCTCTTGTATCACAGTTTCTTTGCATGTGACTCACAACCACCAAGAAGATTCAAACACAGACGCATTTACTTTTGCAAAACATTTTTCAGGATTTCTGAGAACCCTTGTTAGTTAGCATTTTGGGCGATTTTGTAAAACTTACAAATGAGCTATGTAAAAGCCTAAGTGGCTAGGAACTTTCTTTTTTATCTATACTTGTGGGCCTCTTATAAGTCGAAAGAAATTATGTCAC